GGACACCAGAGTGGACCTATGGGTGCACACAGCCATGGGATGGACACCAGCATGGACCCATTGGTGCTCCAACCAATGTTTGCCTCTTGGGACCCATGGGTGCACCTTCTTCCATGGGAAGGACACCAGCATGGACCCATGGGTGCTCCAACCAATGTTTGCCCCTTGGGACCCATGGGTGCACGTTCCTCCATGGGATGGACGCCAGCATGGAGCCACCATTGATGCTCCAACCAATGTTTGCCCCTTGGGTGCACCTTCTTCCATGGAAAGGACACCAGAGTGGACCTATGGGTGCACACAGCCATGGGATGGACACCAGCATGGACCCATTGGTGCTCCACCCCATGCGTGCCTCTTGGGACCCATGGGTGCACCTTCTTCCATTGAAAGGACACCAGAGTGAACCCATGGGTGCATCCCACCATGGGATGGACTCCAGCATGGAGCCATGGGTGCTCCAACCAATGTTTGCCCCTTGGGACCCATGGGTGCACGCTCCTCCCTGGGATGGACACCAGCATTGACCCATGGGTGCACCTTCTTCCATGGGAAGGACACCAGAGTGAACCCATGGGTGCATCCATCCATGAGATGGACAGCAGCATGGAACCATTGGTGCTGCACCCTGTGCTCAGCCCTTGGGACCCATGGGTGCACCTTCTTCCATGGGATAGACACAAACATGGAACCACCACTGATGCTCCAACCAATGTTTGCCCCTTGGGAGCCATGGGTGCACCTTCTTCCATGGGAAGGACACCAGCATGGACCCATGGGTGCTCCAACCAATGTTTGCCCCTTGGGACCCATGGGATGGATGCCAGCATGGAGCCATGGGTGCCCCTTCTTCTATTGAAAGGACACCAGAGTGAACCCATGGGTGCATCCCACCATGGGATGGACTCCAGCATGGAGCCATTGGTGCTCCAACCAATGTTTGCCCCTTGGGACCCATGGGTGCACGTTCCTCCATGGAATGGACGCCAGCATGGACCCATGGGTGCACCTTCTTCCATGGGATGGACACCAGAGTGAACCCATGGGTGCATCCATCCATGAGATGGACAGCAGCATGGAGCCATTGGTGCTGCACCCTGTGCTCGGCCCTTGGGACCCATGGGTGCACCTTCTTTCATGGGATGGACACAAACATGGAGCTCCAACCAATGTTTCCTCCTTGGGACCCATGGGTGCACCCTCTTCCATGGGAAGGACACCAGAGTGGACCTATGGGTGCATCCAGCCATGGGATGGACACCAGCATGGACCCATTGGTGCTCCACCCCATGCGTGCCTCTTGGGACCCATGGGTGCACCTTCTTCCATGGGATGGATACCAGCATGGAGCCATGGGTGCCCCTACTTCTATTGAAAGGACACCAGAGTGAACCCATGGGTGCATCCCTTCATGGGATGGACTCCAGCATGGAGCCATTGGTGCTCCAACCAATGTTTGCCCCTTGGGACCCATGGGTGCACGTTCCTCCATAGAAAGGACACCAGCATGGACCCATGGGTGCATCCATCGATGAGATGGACAGCAGCATGGAGCCATTGGTGCTCCAACCAATGTTTGCCTCTTGGGACCCATGGGTGCACCTTCTTCCATGGGATAGACACAAACATGGAACCACCACTGATGCTCCAACCAATGTTTGCCCCTTGGGACCCATGGGTGCACCCTCTTCCATGGGATGGACAGCAGCATGGAGCCACCACTGGTGCTCCACCCCATGCTTGGTCCTTGGGACCCATAGGTGCACCTTCTTCCATGGGAAGGACACCAGCATGGAGCCATGGGTGCTCCAACCAATGTTTGCCCCTTGGGACCCATGGGATGGATACCAGCATGGAGCCATGGGTGCCCCTTCTTCTATTGAAAGGACACCAGAGTGAACCCATGGGTGCATCCCACCATGGGATGGACAGCAGCATGGAGCCATTGGTGCTCCAATCAATGTTTGCCCCTTGGGACCCATGGGTGCACCCCTCTTCCATGGGATGGACACCAGCATGGAGCCACCATTGATGCTCCAACCAATGTTTGCCCCTAGGGACCCTTGGGTGCATGTTCCTCCATGGAATGGACGCCAGCATGGACCCATGGGTGCACCTTCTTCCATGGGAAGGACACCAGAGGGGACCCATCCATGGGATAGACACAAACATCGAGCTACCATTGATGCTCCAACCAATGTTTGCCCCTTGGCACCCATGGGTGCACCTTCTTCCATGGGACGGACACCAGAGTGGACCCATGGGTGCATCCATCCATGGGATGGACACCAGCATGGACCCATTGGTGCTGCACCCTGTGCTCGGCCCTTGGGACCCATGGGTGCACCTCCTTCCATTGAACAACGCCAGCATGGACCCATCGTTGGTGCTCCACCCCACATTTGGCCCTTGGGACCCATGGGTGCACCCTCTTCCATGGGATGGACACAAACATGGACCCATCGTTGGTGCTCCACCCCACATTTGGCCCTTGGGACCCATGGGTGCACCCATCCCCGGGCCAGCCGCACGCCCGGACCCACAGATGCTCCCCATACGAGGGACTTGGTGGTCTTGGTGCCCACCCAGCACCCAGCGGAGCCTCACCTCGTGCTTGATGGACCTGGCACCGTAGTGCAGGTTGTAGCCGTCGGCCAACACGTCCAGCACCTCCCGGTCCCACAGCAGGGTGATGTTGTGCCGTGCTTTGGCCTGGGTGGGGGGTGAGAAGGGGCTGAGCTCCCAGCAAGGGGAAGGGGTGGGGGTGTTGAGGGTGGGGGTCTCCGTGGGTGGGGGTCTCTTCCTCCTGCTCCTCGTGTACCTTCTTGGCCCAGAAGCTGAGCTCCTTGTTGACCAGCTGGATGAGCTCCGAGTGGCAGAAGGGGAGGAAATAAACGATCTCGTTGATCCTTCCCAGGAATTCGTCCCGTCTGAAGTGAGCCTGTGGGGGTGGGGGGGGTCAGGAGGATGTGGGGGGCATGGGGGGGCCCCCCACCTCCAATGGGTGCTGTGTGGGGCAGGGATGGGGATGGGGATGGGTTGGGGTTGGGTTGGGATTAGGGTTGAGGTTGGGGTTGGGGGGAGTGGTGGGGTTGGGGGTGAGGTTAGGGTTGGGATTGGGTTGGGATTAGGGTTGAGGATGGGGTTGGGTTTAGGGTTGGGGTTGGGTTGGGATTAGGGCTGCAGTTGGGGTTGGAGGTGGTGGGGTTGGGGTTAGGGTTAGGGTTAGGGTTGGGGTTGGGTTGGGATTAGGGTTGAGGATGGGATTGGGGTTGGGTTTAGGGTTGGGGTTGGGTTGGGATTAGGGTGAGGTTGGGGTTGGGGGTGAGGTTAGGGTTTGGGTTGGCTTGGGATTAGGGCTGGAGTTGGGGTTGGAGGTAATGGTGGGGTTGGGGTTAGGGTTAGGGTTGGGGTTGAGTTGGGATTAGGGCTGGAGTTGGAGTTGGAGGTAATGGTGGGGTTGGGAGTGAGGTTAGGGTTGGTGTTGGGTTGGGATTAGGGTTGAGGATGGGGTTGGGGTTGGGTTTAGGGTTGGGTTGGGGTTGGGATTAGGGCTGGGGTTGGGGTTGGAGGTAGTGGTGGGGTTGGGGTTAGGGTTAGGGTTGGGGTTGGGTTGGGATTAGGGTTGGGGTTGGGTTGGGGTTGGGTTGGGATTAGGGCTGGGGTTGAGGTTAGTGGTGTAGTTGGGGGTGGGTTATGGTTGGGGTTGGGTTGAGATTAAGATTGGGATTGGAGTTGGGGTCAGGTTTGGGGTGGGGTAGGGTTGAGGTTGAGGTTGGGGCTAGATTTGGGATCAAGGTTGAGGTCTGGGTCGGCGTTGGGGTTGGGATTGGGGTTGGGTTTAGGGCTGGAGTTGGGTTAGGGTTAGAGTTGGGA